TGGACCATCGTTAAAATTAGCAGTTAACATGGTGTAAAAGTCATGCACATAAACAAGAGCTATCAGTAGGACATCATTGAGTGTTCGACTGTTCTCAATGCTTGATAGCTAAACCAGAACCTAGATAATGAAGAATTCTCTATATTTAAAAGGGCCATAATTCTGACAAAATCCATTATAGACAAAATCCATTATAGAGTTATTGGCCTTTAATTGTGACCTTCTATTATGCTCATATATAAGTGTATATGGTTTATACCTATTCCGTTATGTAATTTTTAACAAAACCAATTTGCATGCAAAACCTTAGCAAACACTGGAAAACTGACGTCTTTTGTGTATAATATCACTCCTTATTCTTCGAAATATCAAGCTAAAAAAATGTGCTTTCAATGGTTTTATCCATAAAAGGAAGTTTTTTCTTTGTGAATGCACACCTATGTGTGCATTTTTTGTGCAGGATGACCAGTTTATTAGTGTGTTATGTGTATGAACAGTGTTGATCATATAAATTATCCATATCATAGAAAGTTGTTCAAAAATCATTATTTAATGGCGGCCATCTTGGATTTGGGAGCCATATTGAATCTTCTACTAAATGTTACTAAAGCATTTTTCCAAGAAACTACTATTTTTGACCTACAATGTCAATTTATATCATTTTCATGCCGTAAATAATTTCATTTTGTCATGTCTCATGTACATTGTACATTTCGGCGGCCATCTTGGATTTTGGCGGCCATCTTGGATTTTTAAAAAGTGGATCCCAGGCTGAAATGAATTGAAATACCATTTTGTGCTACCAGGCCAAGTTTCATGCTTTTCACAGAGGGTGCACAATTATTTCACTAATTTCTTGGACTATATGGACGTTGGTCCAGGTGGTGTATATGAGCTCATTTGCCTCATAAACATCAAATTTTGGTACGTCCGTCCGTCTGTCCGTACGAGGTTAACCTAGAACGGCAAGTTGGATTTTTCTCAAGTTCTACCTGTACCAATGGCTTCTTAGTTTACACACTTACTAATCAATACAAAGTACATGATCTGGTCAAGTTACATAACTATGGCTTCCATATTTACCAAGTTATTGCCCTTTTCAGCACTTAGAAAATGAATAATGGTTAACCTAAAACGGCAAGTTGGAAATATCTTAAGTTCTATCTATACTAATGGCTTCATAATTTCCACACTTACTTATCAATACAAAGTACATGATATTGCCAAGTTATATAACTGTGTCATCCATATTTCCCAGTTATTTCCCTTTTTTCACTTTGAAAATAGGGCCTTGTCTAGTTAACCTATTCCGGCAAGTTGGATTTATGGTAAATTTCTCTTAATTGCTTAATTTATTTAATGATATCTTGCATATTTGGTAGGTGGATACCTTTAATAGTCCTCTAATTTTTGGGGAGTAAGTGGTCTTTAGGGTCATGTCAAGGTCACTGGTTTAGAAAATAAATTTAAACATTTTTGCACATACAGCCTTTATTTTTTGGTTGATGTCTTTCATGTTTAATACAAACATGCCAAGGGAGGTCTTCCTTCTTTAGGTATAGTAAGGGGTCATTTTGGTCAAGGTCAATGTCACAAATGTCAAGGTCACCAATGTTAAAAATAGATTTTTACATTTTTATAGGTGTATTAACCACATTCTATAGACAGATGTCATTTATTTTTATTAATTGATAGAAACACAAAATTTGATGGAGTTAGTGGTCAGTTGGGTCAAGGTCACCAGTGCTTAAAATAGATTTTTACACTTTTGCTCATACAGCCTTTATTTATTGACAGATATATTTCATATTTGATAGGAAGATAACTTGCATGGTATTCTTCCTTTTGATTGAGTTAGGGATCAGTGTGTCAATGATCACTAGTGCTAAAAATAGATTTTTACACTTTTGCCCATACAGCCTTTATTTATTGACAGATATATTTCATATTTGGTAGGAAGATAACTTGCATGTTATTCTTACTTTGGATGGAGTAAGGGTTCAGTTGGGCCAAGGTCCAAGTGCTAAAAATAGATTTTTACACTTTTGCCCATACAGCCTTTATTTATTGACAGATATATTTCATATTTGGTAGGAAGATAACTTGCATATTATTCTTACTTTAGATGGAGTTAAGGGTCAGTTGGGTCAAGGTCACAAGTGCTAAAAATAGATTTTAACATTTTTGCCCATACAGCCTTTATTTATTGACAGGTGTATTTCATATTTGGTAGGAAGATAACTTGCATGATATTCTATAGGTGTCAGTGGGTCAAGGTCAAGGGTGCCAAGTATAGATTTTTTACATTTATATATATTTGATAAAGTTGAATATTTATCACTTCAAATGTCATAGCAATGACTTTTTCACAATTACAAAATGCCAGGACTCTGTCAAGCTATATAACTTATGTTTACAATTTTTTGGCAATGTTTCTGTCCATAACTGAGTGAATGGGTAACATGTTTTGAAATATTGCTACTGACAAGAATCGGAGCCGGGGGCATTTGTGTTTAACAAACACGTTCTTGTTCTTCTTCAAATTAAGTTGCAAGAATTAATTTGCAATTGTCTCACTATACCTGGTTTTAGAATACCTTTTAAGTAGTGTGTTTTATACATTATTATATTTTTATATCATTACATTATCTTTCAACGGTTCTCTTTATGACATTATGCAATGTTATTTGCTTGAGCGCATACACGCTATAAAAACAGTTATTAAAAATACTACATAGATAGAACACAACAAATAGTTTGCAATAGTTTTAAGAGAATGGTAATTTCAAAATTAAATATAAAAATAAAAAATACAATTGCTAAATTAAGATTCAAACCTGCCAGTTCATGTCTACATTCCTCAAGTGAAACCCCCTTACTGACTATGCTAAGAGGGATATTTAATTACGAACTTTAAGCAGTTAGATATTTACATTCACATCGATTTACTAGTACATCGTAACGTTTATGGAATTTACCGCCTATAGGATCAAATGCAAGAGTGCCAGATCAATGTTGATGGACAATATGTATTATTTCAGTGTAGCAATTGGATAACAAGTTAGCCAATTTACATAAAAATGTAAACACTGGAAAGGTCCATTTAACAATAAATAAACTGTCCTTACCTATACAGTCGGCCTACTTGAGAAGTTATTTTTCTTTTATTCTTTAACTGTATAAGCAAGTGATGATATCTCCTAGTAATAACTAGTAAGAAAACAAACACCAAACCATTTATACGGTTATAATCTGCGAAATCTGATCCTTCTGTATCCAAAATACTCTTCGCATGTTTTTTGACAAAGTGCATTTACAAAATAACGATGATATCCTATGTCTGTCTATCATACTTGTTATGTTTTACTGATTAAAATTGTTAAATTAACCTTTGTTGCATGCTTTAATTGTTTGCATGTTCCAGTTTAACACATAATTATTCACATTGTAATTTCTTCAGATGAAAACGGATGTTTACTTTTTGACAATTCACCAAAAAGATATTTTATATGCGAAAAGCACTCCAGGGTGCAAAAGAACTAAATTTTGTGGGTGTCACTCTGGTGATGCCCTATCCTAGTGAACTTCGAAGAAAAAGAATGAATCGAGAAAACATTGGCGGCCATTTAATTTTATTTAGAAAATAGACCAAGTGACCAGATTTTATACTGTTTAAAAGTACTGTTACCTATGTAACAGTACAAATTTCTTATTCACGTAGTACACTTGCATTAACAGTAAGAATAGCTCCCAGAGGCCTATGGGAAATTATCATTACGAAAAAAGTGAGGGGTAATAAGACAGTTTACCAACATATCCCAAACATTTGTTTAATACAAAATTCATTAATGGAACCAGAGTTCTGCACTACAGAAAGCGAAAATAAAGGAAAAACGAATAAGAAGACTGATCTCTGTCGCCTATTCCCCACAGCTAAAGCAGAGTTCGCTTGTATTAAGAAATTAATGTATGCCTTTCAAACATTCAACAGAGACAAACAACCAAATGCTATCAGTCTATAGTTGATGATTTATGGGTGAAGCTGCAACGTTTATGCGTTAAATACCTCATAGAGTATTTGAGAAAGACATTTAAAGTGGATTAAACGCTGTCTTTGACGTGCGCCGCGATTGAAATAGTTGCCACGACAATTATTGCATATTTTTGTTGTTTGTTGATATTTTACTATAAAAAGTAAGAAAATGTTGCTTTTTTATGGGTTTATAACATATTGAAATATCAAATCCTTACCTTTTGTATTTAGCTTTTAAACAATCTTGTCACAAAATATTGGGACAACCCATGTTGTCACACTCTAAAAACATCTTGGTAACTTGTTCATAGTTGTATATAATATATAAAGTATGTTTGAGTATACAGCAATTCTGTAGTTACACATATAGTACTTACACATATATATTCATGTCACACTATTTTTCATGTTCTTCCTTTTGTTTTGTTGAAGATTCATCTTATGTTAAATAACAATTACCCTTCAATAAAAAAAAATTATTATATATAATAAATCTAACCAACTTGTACCTTGTTACTGTCCAATATAATCCCGTATTGGATCCAAAACAAATATTATTTTCATTATGGACGGTTGGGTACATGTGCACTTAACAATGCTGGCCTAGTTTCCAATTTCAATCTCTATCAAATTTAAGACTGGGAACCATGCTTGCATAAAGACGCTTGTTATTATATGTTAACAACAGCTGGGAAAGCGTCTTGTTTTTGTCCAAAAGACGAAATGTTAACAGATGAAGAAATTTCTGATTTTGTCCTCGGACAGAAAGCATAAAACACTGTGAGCAAGATTAAATCAGATGTTGGAATATTTATGTGATGGTTGACTGACACTCTGCTATCTGAATCGCACAACTCATTCTTGAAAAGTTTTTATTTCAGAGTGAGGAAGAGAAAGATATATAATGGAAAGGTAATTGGCTCCTTCAATATGACATTTCAAGCTGTGGACTCGTCCAAATATATTCCCGTATTGTACAGTAAAATGTATAATAACCTATAAATCATTGACATTGATGAAACTCTGTTTACCATTTATATTACAATAACCCTTGAATGATACCATGATTATAATTTATTCATTTACTTATTAACTGATCAGATATCGTACACTTCAATATTGTCTTCTCCTGCTCTGCTTATAAACATCTTAGACATTTGTGGATTACAACAAACTGACAGAATTCGGCTTTTCCAACTGTCAGCTTTTTTGACCTCTCCCATCAGTTCACCATCAGATGTAAACTGTAAAACATTCTTGTAGTAAGATACCAGCACACTACCTGCTTCAGTGAGATGACAATAACTAGCCCCCAGTAAGTGTTTACTTACAATCTGACCATTGTTGTCCAGTACTATCAGTCCTTTATCACCATCAGCAACATAAATCCTTGTAGTATCCTTACTGACAGCTAGACTGTATGAGTTAATAAACAGGTCATGTCCTGACTGGTCAGTACTGAACTGTTTAAGTTTCCAGCCGGACAATGTGTAGATATAGACTGATGTTCTTCCTGAAATATATAAATGATTGTTTGAATATGCGAGACCACCGTAGATAAAATCAGTTTTAATCTTCCTAGTTGTTTTTATTTGTCTGCCTACAGAAATGATATGAACTTCCTGCTGGCTGCATAATGTTACTGCTACTTGTGTTTCATTAATTTTACATATTTCCCATGGATCTTCAGGTAGATAAAAGCAATCTGTGATGGTATAATTGTGACTTTCTAATCGTTTAAGCTTCATGTTAGTGTTGTCAACTAGGATTATTGTACCATTTTCCATATAACAGGCACTGGTGATATGACAAGCTTGTTCATCAGATTTAACTTTGACACAGTATGATTGTTCCCCTGTAATCTGAAGTAAATTGCCAGCAGTTTTTGTTAGCATGGTTTTGTTTTGTTTCAGCTTTTGAAGGAGATTTCTGTCAGGTTGAAACTCTATGTCACTTACTGTAATCTTCACTTTGGTATCTTCTATAAGTTTATTGGCAACATTTTCAGCATCTTCTCCCATCTTCACATGAACAAACAATTCAGCTTGATTTGGGTTTGGAGATGCTAATTTATCATTAGCTGATGTTACCTTTGCTTTGTGTGTTTGTAACTGTTTGAGACCTTCTTCTATCTTGTCTTCAAGAAGTTTGAATTTATTTTCTATCTCATCTACAGAACATTTCTCCAGCTTGTCAAGTTGATCATTAATTTCTTGTCGGAATTTTCTGATATCATCCAGTAACTCAGCCTTTCTTTTCAGAAGGCTTTGTTTATCCTGTTGAAATTTGTTAGCTTGTACAGCAAGGGTCCTGGCTAATACTTTCAGCTTTGTTTGAATTTCTCTTGAAGCCACTTGATAAGATTTGTTTTGGATGAATTCTGGTATATAGAATATATCCTTACATGATCTGGAAAAAAGGGATTAAGTCTATTATAGTCACCTGAGAGGAAAGTCAAAGAACTCTGATTATCTTGTTAACCTTCTGGTTGCAGAGCCATAAATCTATCAGCCCTTACCTTGCAAAGTATTTTTTTATGGTTTAATATCATAAATATGATGCTCAAATTTAGATTTATCAATTTTGTAAGTTCAAAAAAGCATTATTTATAAAGATACTACCGAATTTAACATTTTAATATATGTAAATAAAGGGAGGTAATAACATATTAATTTTCTATAAACTCTAAGTCAAATTTTTCAATAAGAAATGAATGATTACATATATTATGTACAAATATTTGCAGTACATATTTAACATATTCTTCGATGTTTTATAAGCATAATTATATACATACGAGGGGTTATCCAAAAATTTGTGGACTTTCTTTGCTGCTTAAATATATTTGAGATATAATTAATTTGAAATTATTACACTGCTTAGAAGAATTGATAACAAATAAACACATAAAAATTCATGTGAGTAGCTCCATACATTACAACAATATTTAATTTTACAAAAAAACATGTCGACGACAGCAGAACACTCCAAAAAATTATTCACGTCAACATCATAAAAATAACGTACAATGTTATGCAGTCAATGACGGTTACTAGTTCTCAAAGTAATGTCCATCACTAAATTTTTTTATGCCACTTTAACACTAATGATTGTGAAATTTTCTTTTCTCTGTTCATCTGCTGATTTTTATCAAATGTTTTTGTAGGTGTCATTTCCAAATAACAACAAAAATTTATGATCGTGCGATTTTCTAATTACCGCGTGTCTGTCATATTCCCGTTGTAAGTAAGTAAGTAAGTAAGTAAGTAAAGTCTTTATTTAATGAGGCTACACATTTGGTTTCGCAATCTTCCATGTGGGCCTCAAAAACATAAATATACATAAAATATACATAATTTACATCATGGTTATACAGTGAAGTTTTCAAAATACATATACACATGAAAACACAAAATATAATAATATATTACTTTATGAAACAATAAATAATTAAAAACACAATACATATTCAAAATACATGTACAATGCATGAACATACATTACTTTACACTAAATCTATGTAAGATCAAGGTACTTGAGAGAGATTCCAACTGATACAGGATGCTTGAAATTTTCCAACCGTTTCAGATTTACGTATGGAGAGAGGGATATTATTCCATAGTTTGGGGCCTGAGAAAGTCAGAGATTTTCTAAAAATTTCTTTTTTTGGTTTAGGTATAAATAAATCTGAATTTTTTGCTGACCTGAGGTTATGTTCATGTTTTTGGTGAATAAATTGAAATTTGTTTTTCATGTTCTTTGGAAATGAAGCATTGTTTAATGATTTATACATAATGACAGCTTTTTTGTATCTTATTCTTTCATCAAATTTTATCCAATTTAATTCATTAAATAATTCAGTAGATGGGGCATCATAACTTTTGTCAAGTGTAAACAATAAAGGCGTCTGGTGTTTCTAGCGATATCAACAAAAATAAACGGAAATGACGTCCATTATTTTAAAAAATTACTTAAATGACATCATAGAAGAAACATGCGATATTTAGCGGGTTTTCTACGCTAATTTTTTCATTTTTTAGCAAGAAATATACGATGACTTACTGCGCTTTTCTACCATGCGCCGGGTGCCATGTATGTGCTTATTTAAAAGCAATATAAAATCATTATTTATTGACACAATTAATTGTTCCTTTCAAAATTTGTTGATGATATTCTACAATGTATGCTGATAAATTTTCATTACAATACACATTGACGTTCAAGAGATATTAAAAAGTCCACGAATTTTTGGATAACCCGTCGTTTATATAATTTCACTTAAGCGTGGTATACAATCTCAATTGCAACATACAGGATCTTTAAATATTAAATTATGCTTCCTCTCAGCTAGGAAATAATGATTAATTTTCAATTTAGAGTATCAATCAGTGCTTTATCAGTTTTAATGTAATCAATATTTACTGGCAACTGGTTGCATAAGTCAGGGGTTTTTTTTGTCAATTCCTTCTGTACTGAATTTTCTATAAAGGCAAGGAGGAAAAAACAATGCAGACAATTTCTTTAAACTTTTTTTGGTGAAAAGCAATTATTACTGATAATTATTAATGGAAATATATAAGGAGACATCATCCTACATGTACTTGTTGGGTTACCACACTTTCGAGTAAAGGAAAAATTAGATAATGAAAAAATTCACTTTCAGGGGCAAATAGAATGAGGGCTCTTAGTGCTAAAGGGACATAAACACTTTTTATAGTTATTAAAAAAAGTTAAATGATGATTATGCTAAAAGTTACCTGTGATCAATCGTCATACATGTAGTACAGCCAACATTATCATGATTCTGACAGTACATATCAATGTGTTTATGACTGTGTCTGTCACATCTCTCTGCTGGTGCCCTTGACAGACCTTGACTGATTCCTGACTTAATTTGAGATTTATCCAACACCTTGTGACTAGCTAATACAGGCACTTGACTGTGAACTTTTACACAATTTATACAGAAATAATCATGACAGTCTACACAGAATTTTTCACCTTCAGATTTTTTACCTCGATTTTCACACATTGAACAAAGTACATCATATATTTCATCAGAAAGAATATCCGTATCTATTTCTCCACCTGTAGCCATTTTGTTGAACCAGTGTTTACTTAGTTGATCTTTACAACGCCTAAAGATAGATAAAAATTGTCCTTTCTTATCACAGTGATTTTAAACAAAGATTTTTTTATTCCTACTATCACTTTAAACTGTCTCTTAATTAATACTGCTTTTTGACAATAGATCTTTTTTCTCCTCTTCTTTTATGAATTACAATCACCTTGAAAAGTTAATTTTTAAGGATTTAGTCACGGTCATAAATGTAGTAATGAAAATTCTCTTATCTTTCACTATATATACATTAAATAAACATTTTAAAATATTGAATGTTAAACATCTTATCTTGATAAATCGTGAAACCATAAGGTTTACATTTGTCAATATGTACTGTTTGTTTAGCTCACCAGAACCGAAGGTTCAGGGTGAGCTATAAGTATTAAAGGGGGATACTCCTGCGTCAGTCGTCATGCATCATGCGTCAACAATGGTCTTCTTCTCTGAAATTGATGGGGAGATTTACCTCAAATTTGGTCTGTAGTTACCTTGTGACAGTCACACTTAAATTTGCTCATGCTATTTCAATTGGCCCCTTTTACGGGTCAACAGAGCTAAAAATAGAAAACCTTTATACATCTTTCATTTCTTCAAATTATAGTTTAAAGATATTCTATGCTCAAATTTAATATAAGAAAATATTGACAATGGATACACAGTCTCTTTATAAATATAAAATAAATGTGTTTTGACTTCACACAAAGTAGATATGTTATGTTTTAAATTCTTCACACTATAGGTGGTCATAGTATGAGTATATAGTGTCATTAAAAAAAAACTGGCTGTTTTTTATGCCCCCGGGCGGCTGTTTTTTATGCCCCCGGGCATAAGGTAATTGAACCATCCGCCCGTCCGTCCATCCTCCGTCTGTCCGTACGAGGTTAACCTAGAACGGCAAGTTGGATTTTTCTTAAGTTCTACCTGTACCAATAGCTTCAAAGTTTACACACTTACTAATCAATACAAAGTACATGATCTGGGCAAGTTACATAACTCTGGCTTTCATGTTTACCAAGTTATTGCCCTTTTCAGCACTTAGAAAATGAATAATGGTTAACCTAAAACAGCAAGTTGGAAACATCTTAAGTTGTATCTATACTAATGGCTTTATAATTTCCACACATACTTATCAATACAAAGTACATGATATTGCCAAGTTATATAACTGTGTCATCCATATTTCCCAGTTATTTCCCTTTTTTCACTTTGAAAATAGGGCCTTGTCTAGTTAACCTATTCCGGCAACTTCGATTTATCTTAAATTTCTCCTAATTGCTTAATTTCTTTAATGATATCTTTCATATTTAGTAGGTGGATACCTTTGATGGTCCTCTAATTTTTTGTGGAGTAAGCGGTCTCTAGGGTCAAAGTCAAGGTCACTGGTTTAAAAAATAAATATAAACATTTTTGCTCATACAGCCTTTATTTTTTAGTTGATGTCTTAGTTTAATACAAACATGCCAAGGGAGGTCCTTCTTCTTTGGGTGTAGTAAGGGGTCATTTGGGTCAAGGTCAATGTTACCAATGTCAAGGTCACCAATGTTAAAAATAGATTTTTACATTTTTACAGGTGTATTGACCTTATTCAAGACAGATGTTATTTATAATTGATAGAAACATAAACTTTGATGGAGTTAGTGGTCAGTTGGGTCAAGGTCACACCAGTGCTAAAAATAGATTTTTACACTTTTGCCCATACAGCTTTTATTTATTGACAGATGTATTTCATGTTTGGTAGGAAGATAACTTGCATGGTATTCTTCCTTTGGATGGAGTAAGGGGTCAGTTGGGTCAAGGTCACCAGTGCTCAAAATAGATTTTTACACTTTTGCCCATACAGCCTTTATTTATTGACAGATGTATTTCATATTTGGTAGGAAGATAACTTACATGGTATTCTTTTTTTAGCTCACCTGTCACAAAGTGACAGGGTGAGCTTTTGTGATCGCTTTTCGTCCGGTGTCCGTCCGGCGTCCGTCCGTCCGTCCGTAAACTTTTACTTTAAATGACATCTCCTCATAAACCACTAAGCCAATTTCATCCAAACTTCACAGGAATGTTCCTTTGGTGGTCACCTTTAAAAATTGTTCAAAGAATTTAATTCCATGCAGAACTCTGGTTGCCATGGCAACCGAAAGAAAAAACTTAAAATATCTTCTTCTAAAAATCATAAGAGCTAGAGCTTAGCTATTTGGCATGAAACATCTTCTAGTGAGTGTCTACCAAGTTTGTTCAAATAAAAGCCCTGGGGTCAAAATTGGCACTGACCCGGGGGGTCATTGATTTTCCCTATATGCATATAGTAAAAACTTAAAAAATCTTCTTTTAAAGAACCAAAAGAGCTAGAGCTAAGATATATAGCATGAAACATGTTCTAATGGGTGTCTACCAAGTTTGTTCAAATAAAAGCCCTGGGGTCAAAATTGGCCCCGCCCCGGGGGGTCATTGATTTTCCCTATATGCATAAAGTAAATACTTAAAACATCTTCTTTTAAAGAACTCAAAGAGCTATGGCTAAGATATTGAGCATCAAACATGTTCTAATAGGTGTCTACCAAGTTTGTTCAAATAAAAGCCCTGGGGTCAAAATTGGCACCGCCCCAGGGGGTCATTGATTTTCCCTATATGCATATAGTAAAAACTTAAAAAATCTTCTTTTAAAGAACCAAAAGAGTTAGAGCTAAGATATTTAGCATGAAACATATTCTAATAAGTGTCTACCAAGTTTCTTCAAATAAAAGCCCTGGGATCAAAATTGGCCCCGCCCCGGGGGGTCATTGATTTTCCCTATATGCATATAGTAAAAACTTAAAAAATCTTCTTTTAAAGAACTCAAAGAGCTATGGCTAAGATATTTAGCATCAAACATGTTCTAATAGGTGTCTACCAAGTTTGTTCAAATAAAAGCCCTGGGGTCAAAATTGGCACCGCCCTGGGGGTCATTGATTTTCCTTATATGTGTATAGCAAAAATTTAAAAAATCTTCTTTGAAAAAACCCAAATAGCTAGAGTTAAGATATTAAGCATGAAACATCTTTTAGTGAGTGTCTACAAAGTTTGTTCAAATAAAAGACCTGGGGTCAAAATTGGCCCCGCCCGGGGGTCATTGATTTTCTTTATATGTGTATAGCAAAAACTTAAAATCTTCTTTGAAAAAAACCAAATAGCTAGAGTTTAGATATTAAGCATGAAACGTCTTCTAGTAAGTGTCTACAAAGTTTGTTCAAATAAAAGCCCTGGGGTCAAAACTGGCCCGGCCCCAGGGGTGTCATTGTTTTTAACTATATGTGTATAGTAAAAACTTAAAAAAAATCTTCTTTTTAAAAAGCCCAATGAGCTAGAGCTTAGATGTTTAGCATGAAACATCTTCTTATGGGTGTCTACCAAGTTTGTGCAAATAAAAGCCCTTGGTTAAATTGGCCCTGCAACATTGGGGGTGGGGGGGGGCTATATACAGGTGAGCGACCTTAGGGCCATGATGGCCCTCTTGTTGGATTGAGTTAGGGGTCAGTTTGGTTAAGGTCACCAGTGCTAAAAAATAGATTTTTACACTTTTGCCCATAACAGCCTTTATTTATTGACAGATGTATTTCATATTGGTAGGAAGATAACTAATATGTATTCTTCTTTTGGATAGAGTTATGGTCAGTTTGGTTAAGGTCGCCAGTGCTCAAAATAGATTTTTTTACACTTTTGCCCATACAGCTTTATTTAATGACAGATGTATTTCATATTTGTAGGAAGATAACTTGCATGTAGTTGAATATTTTCAATTCACAAGTCAGAGCAATGACTTGGCAACTTATTATTTTTCACAATTAAAAGCCATGACTTTGTCAAGGCTATATAACTTGTGTTTAAAAATTTTTTGGCAATTTTTCTGTCCATAACTGAGTGAATGGGTAAACATTTTTTGAAATATTGCTACTGACAAGAATCTGAGCTGGGGGCATTTGTGTTCTTGTTCTTGTTTTTTTATAGAAAAGACCAACTTTACTTGGCATATAATAGGGAATTCAGCTGCCCATACATAGTTTATTCATTCTTTTATCCAAATAAGACATATTAAGTAAGAATTTCATAGATTTCGTTGTCGTCCGCGCCGAAGCGCGACGCCCCTTATGGAATGAAATCAGATTTTGTGAAAGGGCGACAGCAACTTCTCGGGCCTTTTCGTCGGTCATAAAAGCTGATCATTCCGATTGGTATGAGGGTTTTTGATTATCAAAAATGAAATGTAGCGAACAATGAATAGCAACTGGAGAAATTCGCAATGCAAACATATTCAAATGAAATCATCTTTCCCGTCATTTAATCGCGCTCTTCGGGGTTTTTTTATTAATCATTTTGTAGTACACAGTGGGTTATTATGGTTTGTTATTGTTGTACATGTATCCGTAAGCTGTATGATAACCCAGTCTGAAAATCTATTTATAGAGGGATGTACTATTCGCCGGTCTCCTATTGGTAATTCCCGGTCTCTCCCTGTCTATATTGACCGGGATTTACTAGAGACCGGCGAATAGTACCACACGTTTTTTGTCCGGTCTTTCCCGGTTTTGGAGTAGATGTTTGATATCGTTTTTCCCCAAAATGAATGTTTGTCACTTAGTTTGGTTACAATAATTAATAAACACAGATCAACTCTCAAAATTGATTATTATTATACATAAACATACAATTCGAAAAAAAAAAACCACCAACAACAATAGCATGTTTCTTTTTATTTATATGAGATAAAAACAATAAATGTGAACAATAATTGAGTAAAAAGTATATTTTTATGGTATTAATATGACACCATCAACTTTGAAACATTTTATTTTACTTGTTATCGTGTTTAGTAAAGATGCTGAGGAATTATTCTAAGTTACAAATTAAATTTTATGAATTATTCAATTGATTGATAATTTAAAAAATGATAAAGAAAAATACAAATGTACATGTACATGGTTTAAGAATAAACAATATAATATATTGAAAGATTAACCATAATTTACTGACTTTTTCCAGTTAATTTTTGACTTATAATCGACTGTCAATATGACAATTGAATTCTCAAAATTTATTTTACAATTTTAATTAAAAAAAAGTAGTTAACATAAAAACTCAGTATTAAAATAGGACATTAAACACAAAAAAAAAGAAAGAAAAAGAAAACAATATTCATAAAATATGTAAAAAAAAATCAAAATAAATATTACAATTATTGTGTAATAAAACAATTATACCCAACATGGTAATATAACCAGTGACATATTGTTACTAAGTGTGAACAGATACCTTTAAAGAGGGGGTCTTCGCTAAGGGACAATGCACAAGTGTGGTGTTGATCATGCCTTACACAAATGGATTAAAAATGATTGTATATCCGTTACTATTAATAATCACGATATTACATTTATGACCATTAAAAAATAACAATTATAATATAATATTATATATGTATTTTATTATTTCAAAAATGTAAAAGAACTATTGATTTTGACTACTATTTTGTATGTTCCAAAGAAAATACCACATGAACTTGAAATTCTATCAAATCACAAATATTAATGATAATATCCAAAAATACCCCTATTTAGCAAAAAAAACTTTTACCCTATGGAAAGAAATTTTTTAATTAAAGACCTGTTATTTTCGTAATTTTTATAAAATACAATTCTTTGGAATATTCAAAATCAAGCTCCTACAAACATAATGAAATGTTTTTTGCCCATTAAAATTTAATACAATTTGGGTAAAAAAAAATTTAAAGTTTTTAAAAAATCTTGCACAATTTTACTAAAATTTCATTGCTGCATTTTTTGCTTGAGGGACTCCTTTTATGCTTTTTTTGTAATTTCTAAAAAAAAATTTTTTTTAAAAAGACAATTATTTCATAAAGAAGGAAACGAATCATGTTATGCAATTTTTCAACTTTTAAAAGTCTTAAGTCAACCTTTTTTTAAGAAATTGAGGGGATGTCTTTTTATATGAACAGTAAACAACTGCACATTTTTTATTTAAATGGAAATAAACTTAAGACATATTGCACTTGGAAAGTTTAGTTTTTAAAAAATCTATTTCTTCTACATTTTATTTATTTACAAGGGGAACTTTTAACAGGTAACAAAAAAATAATGTTTAAATATCTTTTGGCTCTGGAATTTGGACACCATATTGCATCATCTTAGGGTCGGTTGTTACTAAGGTCGGTGTAGAGAATTTCCCAGAGAATAAAATTAGGCCTTAAGAAAGATTACATTTGTTTCTTGTACTTTACTAACAAAGATGTGTTTGTATGCTCAATTTTTTCATTGAATTTTGTTAAAATTGTTGTAATTTTTTAATGCTCCCCGAAAAATTTCGGGGGAGCATATAGTCGCTGGGTTGTCCGTCCGTACGTACGTCCCAAATTTGTGTCCGGCCCATAACTTCTTTAAATGAAGTCGAATTTGACAACTATTTCACAGAAATGATCACCATATTTAGACGACATGTCGCGCGCAACAATTGGGTCGCTACCTTGAAGGTCAATGTCACAGCATGACCTTGCAGCAAAATCGTGTCCGGCCCATAACTTCTTTATTTGAAGTTGGATTTTTCACAGAAATGATCACCATATTGAGAAAATGTGTCGCGCGCAACATTTGGGTCGCTACCTTGAAGGCAGCTGACCTACTAATGATATTTTTGATATCATTTTACCTACTTTCTTGCTTTTTGCTGTACAGATTTTAAATTTGGGCACAGGGTGAAATTTCTGATGCTGAGTTGAATTTTGATATAAGCTGGCATACTTTTGATATTTTTTTACCTTGTTTGACCAATTGTGCTATTTTTTGAGGTACAGTTATGTTACCATGTAGAATGTATTAAAAATTTGTTGTCCTAAACTGTAAACTTCAACGTCTACATCTTACATATTTTGCATCTGACATTTTGTGAATTCATTCACAAAAGTTATAAAAAAAAATTTCATCAAAATTAACCCTGCTCTAGTGGTCATATTTTCTGCATTTCTTCTACATAAGTCTCACACTTAAGGTACACACTTATAACATAGATATTTTTAACAAAACCTTTCTAAAATATTAGGGCAAAATATTTCAATTTATATAGTTAATAACGAAATGATGGGTTAGATGAGTGATTTAGGGTCATCTTAGTGGCCCTATTGCTTATTATAAAGAGAAAAAAAAACACAAAACAATTAGTGATGTGAAAGTATATTACTAGAGGGGCAAGTTAAAATTGAGCTTAACTTGCCGAAATAGCTGGACTTGCCTTTCAGCAAGTTGATTTGAAAAAATAATGTTTCTGGTGAGCGACTCAGTGCCAACATGGCCCTCTTGTTTAAATTTTGGACCAGGAAGTGTTGTGTTTAGTAAATATATAGTAATGAAGAAATAAAGCAATTTTAGTTGACAAACATTCCTGCTAAAATGAGCCAAAGTATGCAAAATTACCATTACTTTGCTTGTAAACTAATAGAAAAATGTTAAATTTTAAAGATTTTTACTTTTTTCACTTTAACCCAAGTAATGGAAAAGTGTATTGCTTTAGAACCATATTTTTTGTGCATACATGTTGAGTTTGGACGTCTGTCAAATCTACTTTTTATTGAGCTTATTGAATCGCACCAACACAGTAGAGGTCATATGGCAACTTTCCAGCTTTAATGGTGAAGAAAGATCTTGGGCACCCCTCCATGCATTATTTCATGTAAAACCGGGCAGTGTCCTGAGTAGAACCACTGATGCTGGATAGCTTTCTCCCAGGAAAGCACATACTTTATTTTTGTCCAGAGCATAACTTAAAGTCATTTTCAAAGAAACCTTTTCTACTGATTTGAATATAAGTCAATTTCACAAAACTGTTTCTGTTGTATTCAAATAGAAGTAAATTATTTTTTTCTAAATTTTCAATTATATTTAAATATAAGTCAATTTCATGAAATATTTTTGTATTATATTTAATTATGTCTCCCCCACCTCGGGGGGAGACATATTGTTTTTGCCCTGTCCGTCCGTCAGTCCGTCCGTCCATTCTTCGTTTCCGGACGATAACTAGAGTTCCTTTTAACCTACAGCTCTCAAACTTCATAGGATGAATGGTCTTATTGAGCAGATGATCCCTATTGTTTTTGGGGTCAGTAGTTCAAAGGTCAAGGTCACAGTGACCGTTGGTCAATTTCTCGTTTCCGGATGATAACTAGAGTTCCTTTTGACCTACAGCCCTCAAACTTCATAGGATGATTGGTCTTATAGAGCTGATGATCCCTATTGTTTTTGGGGTCAGTAGGTCAAAGGTCAAGGTCACACTGACCGTTGGTCAATTTCTCGTTTCCGGATGATAACTAGAGTTCCTTTAGACCTACAGACCTCAAACTTCATAGGATGATTGGTCTTATTGAGCAGATGATCCCTATTGTTTTTGGGGTCAGTAGTTCAAAGGTCAAGGTCACAGTGACCGTTGGTCAATTTCTCGTTTCCGGATGATAACTAGAGTTCCTTTTGACCTACAGCCCTCAAACTTCATAGGATGATTGGTCTTATAGAGCAGATGATCCCTATTGTTTTTGGGGTCAGTAGGTCAAAGGTCAAGGTCACAGTGACCGTTGGTCAATTTCTCATTTCCGGATGATAACTAGAGTTCCTTTTGACCTACAACCCTCAAACTGGGGGGAGACATATTTTCATTGTGAAAACGAGTGGAGTCATCCCAACACACTACAGTTATCATGATTTTACATACATTGTAATTTGAGTTGTCTTTCAATAGTGTAAAAAAATCTGACAATATGAACGTTTGTTTCAAGTATCATCAAAATCCTTTAAAGGTTTGAAGAATTATGGAGCAGACACAATTTCATTTAATTTCATTTGTGAAACTATATATGATATGACCATCAAGTGCAATTTCGTTTGACGCCCGCCTGCCATACGCTGATTGAATAACCAGGATTTTCAAAATTGAATACCTGGTTAAAAACAAACAGTTTAGGAAGCATCTTCTCATACAACCTTAACAATAGAAACCATCCATAGACAGCCTTCATTGAAGTGACTACCGGGTATTTACATTATCTTATCTCCATTTCCATTCCTGTTTCCATTCACAGTTATTCTCAGCAGTGGGGGAGACATGCGCTTTTTTACAAAAGCATCCTCTAGTTTTAGATATAAGACAATTTCGAGAAACATTTTTCTACTGTATTTGATAGAAGTATGAGCAAAAGAATTTAGACCATCAGCACAGTTTTAGATGTAAAATTGAACTTTGATATCAGCTGACCTAGATTTTGTTTAAATGGCCTACTTTCTTGCCCATTGATGTACAGCTATGCTCAATTCAAGATTTAATATTGAATTTTGATATCAGCAGACTTAGATAATTTGTCCTTTAATGTACATCTATAAAATTTAGACCATGTGCACAGTTTTAGATGTAAAATTGAAATTTGATATCAGATAACCCACCTTTTTGTCTGTGATATATAGCTTTTAAATTTTAAATATGTGCATAGTGTTAAATGAAAAATTGAACTTTGATATCAGCTGACCTAGATAATTTTATGAAGTGACCTACTTTCTAGTCCTTTGTTGTACAGCTGTATAATTTGAAGCATGTGTACAATTTCAGATGTGAAACTTAAGATGTGAAACTGAACATTGAACATAACAGAAATGATTAAGAAGTAGACGAAACAACTGTTAATAGACCTACCTATTCAAACTTTAAAGAAAGGTAAAACTAATTTTTTCCTTAATAGTTTTAGCTCACCTGAGCTAACTCAGGATGAGCTTTTAGGATCGTTGAATGTCCGTCTTCTGTCCACATTTTTACATTACCAGTCTAGCGGTCACATTTTTGCCTCAATCATCATCAAATTTTGTCAGGATGCTTGTCTAAGTAATTGCTCGGATGAGTTCAAACATGGGACATCTCGGGTGAAAAACAAGGTCACAGGAGCTTAAAATAAAAAAAATCTTGATAACACTCTAGTGGCTACTGTTTTGGTCCAAATATCCTGGAAATTGGTCTGAAAATTTGTTTTGATGATTTCTAGATCAAAGTTTGAATATGGGCCACCTGGGGTCAAAAACTAGGTCACACTGTTCAAATATGGAAAATCTTTGTTAAAGCAGCACGCCTCCAGATTCATGCTTATTTTCATGAAAATTTTGAAAATGTATTTGAATGTATTATATTGTGAAATAACCAAAATGAAGCAATTTACACATTTTTTTTATCAATGGCACTTACAACCAACGTAAATTACCAAAAAGTGTTCAAAATATGCATAAATAGCCCTTACTGCGTTAGTAACGCAGTAGAAATATACTTGTAAATACCAAAAAATCTGTCACTAACCACAAATAACATGTAAAATATTACTTGAATCTTGAATCATTTTACTTTTCCTAAAATCTTAGTACATATTTCTCAAGTTTGATTTTATTGAAATATTTTGACTCATCTGGAGGCATGCAGCTTTAACACTCTAGCACTCACATTTTTGACTCACCTGTCATGAAACTTGGTCAGGATGCTTGTCTAGGTAATTGCTCGGATGAGTTTGACGGGTCAGATGAGCGATCACATACATGTACCAGTGTCGCTTTTGCGACTCCATAAAAAAGTATTGCATGGTTTTACATATTATTTGATGTGACGTCATTTTCTTTATACAAATATAGTGTGAAGACGTGCTAAATGTTAGCGATACACTATGGGTGCGTCAATGGAAAATATATTCTTTTTCACTTTATACAGTCTTAATTTTATGTATGTGATAAATAGAATATCATATTCTTGAAGGTTCATTATTACTGAATTTATTGAATAAAATAATATTTTGTTTGAGGCTCTCATAATATGATTTAATTCAACTCGTTCAATAAATTCAGTTTTGAACTTACATTCATTCATTATCCTCTATATATATTATAACTTTTATTATAATTTTATAGTCTCTTATATTTAGGTTTCAAGCCTGTATATGGAATGAGAGATACTATTTGAAATTGAAGTCGCAAAATTGCGCTGGTTAGACATATAATGTATAATAGATATGTGGACGATTTCATTGGTTACAAGTTGTACAAGCCCATGGAAGGGGCGTCCGTGGCCGAGTGGTTAAGGTCGTTGACTTCAAACCACTTGCCCCTCACCGCTGTGGGTTCGAATCCCGACAGACACTTTGGATTCTTTCATGTGAGGAAGCTATCCAGCTAGCTTACGGAACGTCGGTGGTTCTACTCAGATGCCCGTTCGTGCCTGAAATAATGCACAGAGGGGCACCTGAGGTCTTTCTCCACCAGTAAAGCTGGAATGTCGTGATATGACCTATACTGTGTCGATGTGACGTAAAACCCAAAACAAAAGAAAACAAAAAACAAGTTGTACAAGGTACCAGTCAGCAGAATCAGATATGTCCAAAAATGGGTTTAAATCAGTATTAAAACCAAACAATTGAAGTAATGTCTGCATCACTGGCAATATCCTAAAAATTGACTTTTTACACTCTCTTGGTACAAGTTCCCAGATTAGTTTGTGGTGGTGAATCATTACTGTATGAAACAAAATTGAAATAGCCGTTACTTTTCTTATTTTGTTATAGTTGAATTCATATTATATCTGTTATAAATCACTCCAACAAACATTGTGAGAAGCTTTTAGCTTTGAACATTTAAATAATTTCTTTTTTGCATTAGCTATTCAATCTATTGTTTCATTTCTAGGATACAGACATTTCCCGCTGTTTGATAAGATTGGGGACCAATACGAACAGGCTTTAGTGTTTGTACATGTTAAAGTTGAGGATCTACCACCACAGCCGACGCATTTACAGGCCTGGAGGGCCACACCCATGTCTCCACTAGGCAAGAAAAATTCTTGCCAACCTTGAGATTACCCCTGTTCTTAACCAAGCAGATATTGGCAGAAAACAGCTGAGATATTGAGATAACTTGCGATAAGCCTGAGATTTTCCCTGATCAAGACTTGAACAAAGAAAAACAAAACAGCGACAATTGATAATATTGAGATTTCCCTTGATCGGAAGTTATTTAGAAAAAAAAATGTAAAAAAAAACTTGTGTCCGAAATTAATTTTCAGTATTGTTTACAAGATAAGCACTGAAAAAAATAAAAGGAAGATACAAAGTGAGGGAAACTGATTAAGATAATTTCATCCATTTTTATAAAATAAGTAAATAATCATATATTATAAATACAATGTATATTGATATTATATAGATATAAATATATATTTCTAAAATTGAATTAGTGAATAATAATTATGAATGATGATAAAGTTGTGATAATAATAATGCTGTTTAAAAGATTTTTATCCTTAATTTTATTTTATTTAATGTTTATAAGACTTAAAGATTTTTGTCACTGATTTTCAATATTTCAACTTTATGTTCTAAAATTAAGTTTGCAAGACTGAAATTTTTATTAATTTTTTTTTAAATTTAATTTGATCTGGAATGACACATAAACTTAATATGTCATGGTCACTGAAAGTCATCAGCAAAAATTTAGTAAAAAAATGCATATAAGAAAAGTACATATTTCAAGCATTATTTTCAATTGAAGCATTGCAGAAAATTTACAGAACTTAATTTGCTAAATATTTTAAGCTAGAAACAGTACAGACATTAAAGTATGTGTATTTGCTAAATCATTATTTGGGGGTACATTGCTTGTTTAGAATTATCATCATGAACATTTTGAATCCTCAAATTGCCATGCTTGCTTAAAGAATAGAAGTTGAAATTCTTGCAAAAATTTGCCATAATGTACAATACTTTTTTTTTATTTTCTTTACTTTTGTTTTAAAGATTAGCCATCCTATCAAGTCTGTTTGCAGGGGATTATTGTCCCCATTATGTTGGTCATCAGTGACACAGTCAATTCATACATGTGACATCCCGGCGGGATTTAAAAAAATCCCGATATTTCAACACTGATCCCGATTCCCGATATTACAGCTTGAATTCCCGATATTTAAAAAAAACAAAAAAAAAAAAAAAAATCAAACACAGCACCTGTATCTAAAATGTAAACCGTGCCTCCGGGCATTGATTTTTATCTGTCCATATCCTAAATTATATCGGATTAAATGTTGAGTCACTAATTGACAGCAAGGTGACATAATAAACAATCCTATACCCAAAGTTATTCTCACATGTTTAACTTATCACGTGTCGTGTGTCAATCAATTGACCTCTTTTGTAATTTGGCAGTAGGTATTACACGCTACGTCATCAAAACTACCCTGTAAATTTACATGTATGAATTCGGCTCAACCTTTGATTTTCTTTGATTAGTGCCGCGCTAATAAAGATAAAAGGTGAGCAGAATCATTCAAAGTGGATCATTCAAAAACCTGTTCGAGATGTCTAATTAACCTATTTTTAGTGAGTGGGTAATTTTTTTGTTTTGTTTAGGAATTACACTATCATCGAGACAAAAATGTGGATTTAATTAACGGAACGATTCTTGTATTCATTTTGAGTCTTCTACTTATGTTACGTTATTTAACTGTCAGAGTCTTATGTTCATGAATAGTTGTTGTACGTTTTCAAATAGCTTGTAGACAATTTTTGAATGACTGAAAAGACAGATATAATTCTTCAAACTGAAATGTGAAAATGTGACTGTTTTGAAATAGCCTGTATGACTACACTTATTTATTTATCTATTCATTTATTTTTTGGTGAAATAAATTAATAGTGATCCACAAAAAATCATAAAAAGTATAACCATTTAATGATTTTGAGTGTAATATAGATTCTTTGAACCAAATGTGCCAAACACGCTTAGAAATTCAAGTCGATAAAAAAATCCAGTTTTGAGCCTCAAAATCCAGCTGAAAATCCAGATTTGGCCCATTTCATTTGTCACATGTATGGACAGTCATCAGTGTAGAATGCACTGTATTCCTACAAAGGAAATTGCATGGTTTAAGTTAGTGAGTTAAGGTGTAAAAAAAATCTAACATTGTCCAGCTTACTAATTTAAATGGATTCAAAGTTTCGAATTCCGTAGTCAGGTGATAATCAATGTTATGACGTATTTGTTTCTATTTCTTATTTCTATTCACTCTTGGTGGGATGTGTAGTACATTTAATTTAATAAAGACTTATCAAATAACTTTTAAGGGAATGCATGGTCATTAAAAAACTGCAGAAGGGTTTGGTTAATCAGATATAAACATGTAGACATTTTAAACGTTTTTGCTGAATGTCAACAACGGACAAAATTTTGAGGGTTCAGGGTAGTAAATTTTTATAGAAAAAATTATTAAAAAATGGATGTGAGGCATAGGACTTTTGTCTTGATCCATGATAAGAAAAAAGTATATATTTGATACTTGTACAGTTCTATTTATCTTTAAATGGGAAAGGGAGGAAATATATGCCAAAAATATGTAAATAAGATCTATACATGTACATACAATATTTAATGTATAAAGAAAGGTGTGGGCCTCCAGTAGTGGTTGTATAATCTAGATGATAATGTAATGGGGAAAGAAAATATTAATATGCCTTAGAGAACTGTAAAATATTTACATTTATTGACTTTACTTGTAACCCAAGAGTAAGTATAATTTACACTAAGTTTAAAGTATGAATATTCTTTCTTTCCTCTTTATGTTATTTTGTTATTATATTTTATACTATTTTTCCTGATTTTGTTTTGTTTTGTAAAATGCCTATTTAAAGTCATTATAAATGTCTTTAAAATAATGAATAATTTTATTATAACTTTTTTTATTTGTTATAGTTTTGATAAAATTTTCTCAATGAATATGATTTGGTCCATAAAACAATATGTATTAGGCAATTGTTTACATGTATTTAGGAAAATGATAATATTGTTTTACTAGTAATCTTTTTATGTTATTATATCTATGAATACAAAGATTGTAAATACTTGTTTAAATGTCTTATAGTTAAATGCAATAGAAAGATATGTATTTAATATATGCACTTACATGTTTTACCTTTCACCCCATGAGCATATTGCGAAAAATGGCCGTTTTCATTGAAAAGCGTCCTGTAACAAGTTCAAACTGCTATGAAACTGTGAAAAATGCTTCAATACTAATGAAACTTGGCACAAATGTTGACTACACCATAGCCTCTGTAACAGCATGCTCAATGGTAAATTTCCTGTAACCTTGGCAACGGGTAGACGTCTCAAAATTGCCAAAAATCACTATTTTGCATTGTTTTTTTCCATCAAAACTGATTTCAAAGTGCTGCAACTTCTCACTGAATTGAGATAGAGTAAAAGGCTTTTCAGCATCGGTTACTAGTTACCCTAAGATCGACCTGAGGCCATTTTTAGCCTGTCACATGTCCAAAATTTTCTTGGAGATGAGGGGGACTCCGCCCCCCTTCAGACCCCCCCCCAAACAGAAGGGGGCACATCCCCCTTCTGGCAACCCCCTCATGTAATATTTGGATGGGGGACGGCGCCGAAAAAGTGGTCACTTTTTTAACAACATTTCTCAAACGGTGTTTGGGGCCTAAATAGGGCATTTTTTCACAGTTTGAGGCCTCAAAAAAGGGGGGGGGGGGCAAAAAGCCGTCGAAACACGCTTATATAAGGGAAAAGGTTAAAGTGTATTACACTATATATGTAATGAAATATTTTATAAAACTTATCAACAGTAACAGACTGTCCCTGTTATTAAATGGAACATAATGCCTCAGAAATGAATGGTTTTCTTCATAAGAAGGGACAAACATGTGTTTAGTAATATCTAAATTATATTGGAATTTAAGTACATTTATATAAGATGTTTTAGATCATAAATAAGTAATGCTAAATGTGTAATAAAGGTAGCAATACTTTGACTTCAATACAGAATAACTTAATTACATTTACTAAGTAAATGACAGTTCATATTTATCATGCTAATAAGTACTTTTGTCTGACACCAAGAAGGAAAAGTTTTTTAAGAAAAGAAAATAATAGCATTTTTGTATGCAAGCAAATCTTAAATATTGAATATTTTCACTTGTAGATTGAAAATTTATTTTCTGAAAAATCTGTTTTTCATTTTTTATTGAACAAAGAGTGTCACAATAATCAATATGTTTTGAAAAAAGGTTTGTATAATCCAGTGTAAAAATTTGTGCCATTTGGTTGTGAAAGTTTACTTTAGGCCATTATCTTATGATAATGTATAACTGTAGATCTATGTCATTTTGCATTATTGTTGTCATCATCATCTTTTGCTTTTTTACCTCCGATTTCTCAACATAATTTTGCATGATTAATTCCATTCCATGCTTGTCAACATTAAATCTTTGGTTTGATTTGTAATTGAAGTTGACTTCAATGTTCTCAGATTCAGAATTAGCTAACATAGCATGCCTTTAAACACTATTGTATATTTCACAATGTTCAAAGGTTGATATATGTTCCATCTCACAATGTTTACAAATTAGCAAACATGCATCAACAAAGTTCATTATAAAATTGCTTTTTTATAAGAATTCAAGTTTATGGAAGAATCATCTGGTAATGTGTGATAAGATTTTAAATTTTCAAGAAATTATGTTCAAAAACCTTGTGATTTTTATTGTTTTTTTCCTTTATATATTTATGAAATTTTGGTTTATTAATTTATAGAATATTTTACTTCTAGAATTATATGTTAGCTTTTGTCTTGGGTTAAGTGGAGAGATGATGAGTTTGAAAAATAAACATCTTAAAGTTGCCAAGACGATACATAATATGACACGGCTATAAGATAGTTTTATTATCATCTGCAACACTTTTGAAAGATTCTTTCCTGATCATGAAAAGAAAATATCTCAGTAATCATAAATGTATTGTTTATGAAGATGTTATACCCATAATGCATGTATATTTGTGAAGGTGATTTCTTATTAATCAGTTTAAACATTTACATCAAAGTAATAATTATAGGTTCAAACTGCTGTGACATTTTTGTCACATAATGTATTTTTTCAATAATATTTTTAATGTATTTTATTTCATTACATCATTAGGGTAGATCTAGTGTAGTATTCATGATTTAGTTAAGAGGTCACAAGTTTTATTAAGTATAATGTAGTTATTGCTTCATACAATTTACATTTGTTAAAATTAAATGCAAGAATAAAAAAAATAATAAATAAAGTATTTTTATAATGAAAACTTGTCTGAATTTTGTCTTTGAATACCCATGTGTAAGGAAAATGTTCATGGTTGTGAACAAGCGCCTTATTCGTGCCTGATTTCTCATAGAACAATGGCTTTTCATCAAGTAGATTTTAAAGTAATTCTTGAAATGTAGCTTCTGTGCTGCTTAGCTGTGCTCCATCCTTAGTTTTAAAAAATATATATATATATATTATTATCAACTTGTACCATATAGATTTTGTGTTAAGGACTTGCCTACTGGTTCATTATTAGGATACCGATCTACAAAAAATATGAAGCCAATTGTAAAAAGTTTGATTATACAGATTGTCGACGTGCAAACTCACCCAGTTATATTCGTGCCTAAAGCAAACCATTGCTAAAAGCAATTGTTAATTGGATAAGGTTTCAAATTCCAATCTTTTGAAATGATGGACAATCTGTGATTTCAGAATGTGTTACATACACTCTTTTCAATACTTTGAATTATTTGAAGTTCTCTGTAATAGTATTGAGAAGAAAATGCTTGTGAAAGACGTTCAAATCCTAATCGAGTATCAATTTTCAAATATTCTGCTGAAACTTGTCTCCCTTGTGGCAGAGTGGAGGAGGAATCAAAATTGCAGCTACCGTTTATCCTTGTGTAATCGTAAAAGGCGACTAAATGGGTTCGAATTACTGGAGTCTTTGCATCTCTTTGCTCAAGCAGGTGAGGCCGTTTGGACCCCTGGTGTTAAGTTAGTAACACCCGATGTAAAACAAAATCGTCGTTCCTGTTTCGGCGCCAAATGACCAAACTTGTTGGTGCACGGTAATCGCACCATCAAATTAAACAAAATAAACTCTGCTGAAGTTGGAATATCTTGCGTTTTCCCACTTTCATGAAAGAAATAAACATTATTATTTCTACTAAGAATGCATTTGTAAAATGGGCTATAATGATTGCATTACTAAGACATAGCTAGGCGACATACCACAACTCTTATTCATTAGTCCTGTCAAGAACATGTTCAGAAAGATTTACAAAACTTTCCCAGTAATAAATTGACAGTCCATTGTTGGTTTAAACATATTTATTTAAGCTCGATTGCGAAACAAGTTCTTGCAACTTATATTAATCACTTTCGAGTCCGCTTCCTGGAACCAATCAGTACTGGTGTCATATGAAGAAACATGGTCGTGACCCGAGTAGAGCTCGAACCCATGATCTCTGGGTTGAGAGGCAGACACCTTAACCACTAGGCCACCGCTCCCCTTCCATAGTTAACTGAAGCTGCTCACTCGAAATTAATTGTGCTACAATCACCTCTACATCATATATAATAATAAACAGTCGTGAATCGATCTTGAAAATAAACTTATAAATAATAACATAAACCGCCTTATGAAAGTGCGAACGTTTTCAAATATATCGATATGAGTTGCACTCAGATTTTTTAAGTGACTCCGACATCCCTTCGCGGCATGCACGTCGCTCAGAGTGCATAGGTCACACAAGACAGGTGACCTAGTTATGTCACTTTTTTTGCTTGTGTGACCTAACTAGCAGCGCAGGTTGTGGCTCTAAAAATATGCTGCCGCCTCCCGGAAAAGGTGCCAATACGAAGTTTGGCCCTGGGAAAAAGATCTCTATGGCGATAGACTCTTGAGAAGTCCTGCGTAGCGGCTCTACGGCCAGCGACGTAACAGAGGCCGATAGTTTGGGACATATGGCATAGCCGACACCCGGTATAAATAAACTTAAAACAAGCAAGAAAAAGTGTGAGGTGTTTCATATTTATTATTGTTAAAACTTCTTTGAGATTCAATAAGTTACATTTAACTCCACTCTAAGATATTAGCTCCCTGAAACACATCGTCTGTGTCTAAAATATATATAATGTCTAAAATACATACATGTATAATTAACCTTTTTATATTTTAAAGGTACAATTATAAAAATTATATTGTTGTTTCTAAAAAAAGATGTGAGCCTATGCATTTAGACTTTCTGAGATTATAACAAAATATTACACAATTTTTACTGAGATACCTACCTGGTTAGAAAACAAGGTCATAATGTTTAGTTTTGTGTTATATACTGACTGGAAGGAAAAGGAAAGCAGCTACAAAAGAACTTATGCACTTAACAAATGCAATTTCTTTATATAAAAAAATTGTTTTTGGAAAACAATGTAGCCAAATCATTTTACATTTAGAGATTTTTTTGTAGGAACACCCTCCCATTGAAAGTTCTTCTTTCATTTCTGTTTCAGAACAAAACTTGATGAGATGAAGCACACTGTAGAGCGGCTTCTTATGAAACATAATATTTTTTTAATTAAAACGAGAATATATGGTTTAAGGACATCCTTTGGGATCAGTATTTTGCAGATGGGAGATGCGGGATGGTAAATGCAACCTTAGCTCCGTGTTCTGAACTGGGCGATCAATGTCAAGTTTTTATAACATAATGGGTTACTTTTTATGATTACTCTCTAAAAATGATAATCAGTAAACGTAAACATAACCCAGTGAGTAGTTTACGCTTGCATGTTATTACTTCCTGCAGAGTGTTAACTTAAAGTGAACAATAATGACAGAAAAGAGTCCATGTGGAGAGATTTTTTTAAAAAGCGTTTTCAGCTTTCTAGGCAATCCGTAATTTATCTTCATGTAATCCATTGTGTAAATGAAAAGATAACAAATAAAATATTGTTTAAAACTAACAATAAATAAGCGAGAAGGAACCCGCTTCAAATCTACATGATTCAAAGAGAATTACTTACTTTTAGTGAAAAATATTTAGTATGTAAGTATAGTGCCTCTGGTGCTGAACATTACTCGATGAATATTGAACATTTATCGTGAGTTAACACAGTTGTGTTCCGTTTACGTGAATATTGCTTACTTAAAAGTGTTCATTTTGAGTGAAAACTGACAGGATAGATCTACTTTTGGTAAACAATTATCAAATAGTTAATACTATTTTTTGGTGAATATTACGAATTGAGAACAGCTCACATTGTAGAATATAGATTGAGTACAATTCACTATAAGCAGGGTCTTTCAAATTGAAAGACCCTGCTGTAAGAAACCATGGCTGAATGAGTGGTGCCTGCTTTGGATAACATTTCTCGATGTGGAGAGCTCAAATGTGGTGTATATTAGTCCTTGAGTTGGCTAATACTCACTTTATGCATGGTACTAAATAAGTAAATATAGATATCTGCTGTATGAAAACATTATTTACATGTAATTAATGTTTACTTGTTAGTAATTAAACGAATTTGAAGTAACTTATCATGGATTCCTTACTTTAGGTGACAAGTAACTCATTTGAGTGCTCAATTTTGATGAGTTAATCATATTAATAGATATAACTTGCAAAAATTTCAGTGTAATTTGTGGGTATTGCTAACTTTGCAGCTTTTGGTAACTAAACATATATGTTACATATAATGCAGCGTTACAAACGTAATATTAGTGAATTATCAATACTCATTCATTGATAGTTAACTTTGGAATAGTGGCAGTAAATTTGATAGGTAAATTAATAGTGCGTAAACAAAAACAATTTTGGTTTGATGTTTTTGTAAATCGCGCCAATATTCAATTTAGCACGGTACGGTACGGCTAGGAACGGAGATTTATTCACGTGGCAGTCCCGTGATTCAGTGTAAAGATGTCAGCCCCCATAGACACGTTTGCAAATAAACAATAATTTTCTCTATTTGTGTCTATTGATGACCAAGCATCAGAAATGGACAATGCAAACTGGCGGAAAGTTCTGCAGAAGCAAGTGTATGATATTCTGTCTCACAAATATGGGCTGTTGATTGTTCTTGGAGGTGCTGTTCTTATCGTTGTGTCGGCGTTTCATTTTGGAGAGGTAGGTTAAAATATAATTTCTCAAAATCGTCTAGAAAAACAAGAATATGATATCCTACATATCTGTATTAATGTGGGAGAAAAAAAAACAAAGGTTTAGTCTAAATAAATCCAATGATAAAACAGGATAATATGAAATTAGGTGCTACCTAGTAACCTATTGGCGCGGAAAGCTCTTATAATATGAAATGAGGCAATGCCTATGAACGGGGAAGTCGTTAAAAATTCCTTTCATTCTTTCTGTTTTAAAGGTGTCATTCGGTATTACATGCACCGCTTCCGTTTTCACTTGGAACACTCGACGATTATCATTAATCATTTATCCGAAAAGTTGAGATTTGTTCCGTTATCGGAATACCCCGCCTATTATCATTGAGTTACATTGTAAATGGCGGCGCCCGACTAGAACTGACACTGAAATTTTCATTGAAAGGTATAGAATTCTATATATTTTTCAATTGTTTTTTATTTGATTTTCTTTTAAATGTACACGTGTAGTCTATAGCCGGGCAAGCCAAAGCCCGGACCCGCTTCGCGGGCCTGGTCTTTGACTTCCCCATATTATGATTTTAGCATAACATGTTTAGTGTACATGTAAACCAGATCTTTCTTGCAGGTATTTTGTACGTAAACAAAGCAAATAAATTTGTGGTGTTCAACCTATCCTCGGAGCGTTCACAGACGCTTGAGGGTCAGATCCTGCCTCCCAACGTGATACGCCCCAGTAAACGCTCTATCAAAACTATTTTAATATTTAAACACATCTATTACAAGGATATAAAATGGCTTTCAAACAATTTTTATATATATGAAAAAAACCTTATACCATTACGTCTCAATAAAGTAATGATTGCAGACTCCAAAAAGTAAGATCAATAGAAAATAGAATTATCTCCTAGATGCAATCAGACTAAACATTAATACATCTCTTTTAAATATGAAAATCAACATTTAATTAAAACCGAAAGTAAAAAGTCTGACTTATGGTATGTTTAAACTGTCAATGGGTGTATTAAACATCAAATATTTGTAAATTATTTAATGTTATTTAATAACATTGTGAAATATTATATAAACTTTTCACATGATACTATTCAATAACATTTTCTCTGTAAATTCAATTTCAATTTTCCCATTGAACAATGCATAAATTAAAAAAGCTTATAAAAATCGGACCTATTTTCAAATATGACTTTATGAGCAGTAAATTTTTACCTTGACACGTCACACCGGGAATGAAAATTTCCTAATTTCATTGCAAATCTATATAATTATTACTTTTTAAAATTAAAAACTAATAATGTTATGTAGCCAAGATTAGTTTTCAGCAATTTTATTATTGATTTAACAAAACATAATCTTATAATTTGATTATTGAATGGTGATGTAGTATCATGTACTATGCCAGATCCGGGTTAGTAGATAACCTAATCATGAATGTCAAACGAGACATCTTTTTTTGTAAAATTGGTCTGACTCTAGACCATTCTATTTGAAAGATCCTGCTCTCTCATCCCCTGTCCTTGTTAAGTGAATACATTCAGAGTCAAAATGTAAAATGGCACTGCAAACATATTTGGTAATTTACCATGCCTAACATTTTATTTACAGAGTGTTATGGAATGGAGTACGGAGAAGTATGCAGCAGTTTTCAATTCATTTAGTGACAACCTTGCTGGTAAATCTTACAGAGAAAGGTATTTCATAACTTCAAAGATTCTGTAAAAATCTGTGAATCGGTTAAATGAATACAAAAAGGTTTTCTGAAACTATGCTTTCAGATTTCTGAGTATTGAAAGATCATTCAAAATAACCATAATAAAAAAAAAGAAAAAATTACTTAAGAATTGAATTGAAATTTTTTTCCTAATACACATACCACTTTATATTTCTGTTTTGTTCTTTTGTGTAAAAGAGTTTCAGTCAATTAATATTTCATTTTAAGCTGTAGAAGTATTAAAACAAAGGTAATCAAACATAATATGTAAATGAGATTTTTAAATTTGTTCTAGATTGTGCTTACCAGTACCTATTGATGTAGTTTACACCTGGGTGAACGGCACCGACCCAGACCTGATACGAAACCTTCAACGTGTCAAGCTGGAAATGCAAGACCAGCTAAATACATCTAAGTGAGTGGAAATGATATCTTTTTATATCAGATTAATATCCACTGGCTGATGTTGTGTTATGAAAATATTGTTATGTGATAATGCTGTGCACTAGACTGAAATATTTTATAACACATTCTTTTTTGTACATTTTGCAATCTGATAATTTCTTGTAGCACATGTAAGGTATTAAAACAATCTTATTTTGCACCTTCTCTGAGCTTTCAATCCCATTAAGCACTAAAGGTATCTACTTCAAACTACAAATATTCATTAAGGATTATAATTGTCGGTCACTCGCCAGTCCAGGACCTAGATTATGAACTATTATTATTGTATGCAAGTAAAAAATAACATCCTATCTTGACAACTTCATAAGGTGTTTGCTTCACTACTTTTGGACTGGAATTGTAGGTCACTGTCCAAGACCAAGAAGTTTTGCATTTATTTTGACTGAATTATCCCCCTTTGTTTAAGTATTAACATTGAACTTCATACTGTCTTAATCTTATGACTGAAGCATAAAAGTAAATGTAATTTGCCCTTTATGTAGCGGTTAAGGTTGTTTATTTTTCAATCAACACAGGTGTAACATGCTTTCATTTAGTTGTGGTTTTTATAATCAGTACATGTTTCTCATGAAATTTGTTCTTTACTCGTAATATGGGTTTTCATGCTGTGTTGGCTTTTGATAAAATAGATTGCATAGCAACAAGGAAGGGTAAGTTATCCATTTCTCCATTTCATGCAATGCTAGCATATTTAGGCACTTTGAAAATATTTATTTATAGTGAGGTTATGACCATGGTATTGAGACAAATCTAGATTAAGGATTCCAGGTACTCCACTGAGGTTTTTTGACATAACAGCACTAGAAGATATTTCTCGAGATAAGGTCTCATTTATTGTAGGTCTACACCATTAATTTGTATTTAAAAGTTCAGATCATTCCTTTTTTCCAGAATGATTTTTCTGATTGTGAAAAATAACCCAAAATTGTAGCAACTTCCATAAAAGGGCTAAGAATAGCAGGAAAATATAATATTCAACTTATTTTTTTGGGGGGTATTTTCATTTTATTATGTTTTAAGTGCCCCAGATGATCAAAATCTGTGTTATTAGGATTAGGACATCAGTGGAGTTCCCTTAATTCATGCCAGCTTTAACTGGTTTATGGTAGCTTAAATTTTTATGATTACTTGTATGTGGAATAGGGCTATTACTAATTAATGATATACTTGTGTATCTTCTTATAGCTTAAAGGTTCATGTAAACTTGAAGTAACAGATTCATTGTAGGAAGCAGTTTTTATTTTGCAAATTAAAGAAGAGCCTAGACATAACGCATATGAAGATATTGAGTATTATTATTGTTATTGATATATAATCCAACACAAGTTTCCCTTAAATATAGACTCATATTAAACAAGCTAACTCAATAGCTTCCTCACAAAAAAGAAGCCAAAGTCCTGGATTCAAACTAAAAGCAGTGAGGGAAAAGTGATTAGAAGTCAATGTAAACCACTAAATCTTATTATGTAATAACTAATTTAAAATGATGTCACCCTTCAGTTTAACTAGCATTTATAATGTGATAATCTTTTATATTTAATATTATGAATCTGATATCAAGAATTTCTTAATGATTTTACTAAATTATACATAATTATATGTGCTTTGATAAATATATATCTATGGTCTGCTTTGCTTTAAATTTTGAACTGTCCATAAGAAGTCAAAGGGAAAACAAATGTAAAATACTGTTTAAAGCCAGACTGTACAGAAATGCAGGATCTGGGTCAATAATGGAAGCAAGGGTCTGTTTTTATTGTTATTATCAAAGTAAGAGATATGCATGAATAATTCTGGTGCAGGACATATTAATCTGTTACCAATAGGCTTTTTAGCATGTACATTTTTGTAAATATGTAAGAAAAAAGATTTCAGTGAAATAATTGTTTGTATTGGTTTGTTTGTTGCTGCTAGAGTAAAAAAATGGAAATTGGACATTATATATACAACTTATCCTGCTTTACATGTATCTTTTCATTCTAAGGACATGTGCTGCTTTGAATCTGAAATAGTTCATTGTCAATTGTAAGGGGTTTTGACATCAAAATTTTGATTTAACTACCATTAGTATAATGGCTAGTAAAATGTCACAGATTTAAAGTGATCAATCAGGGTTATCATTGAAACAGTCTGTTTTGAATTTGCTGCATAATCAAATACAACAAAGTGTTTTCTAATTCTGAGGCAGTCTATAATGCACTGGAGAATGTCATTATAATTACCATAATTCTTCACCTTAATGGCTTGAAGTTAAAAGTTATACAATAAAGCATTTTGTAACATCATGAAATATGTTTGGTTGACCCCTATACACATTGTGATCTCAGACTATTTACTATTTCAGACCTTACTGAAAACTGTTAGACCAATTAACATGACCAACATATCTAAACGCAGTCAAACGATTTTTAAGCTTAAGTCCGTCCGACTGTGGGGGACAGTTTTTTCAGGGGCAAGGGAGACTAATATTGACAAATTCCTTGTTTGCTAGTGAGATTACTCTTCCTTGAAAATCTAGTTTACAGTACACAGTAAACATGGTGTGCTTGAAGTGTAACAATGGCATTGATTTGTAAAAAGATTCAAATTGCTGTAAATATGTCGGTCTGACAGATTTTTTGTTGGTCTGTCAAAAGTCAAGGGTTTGTCAGACCAAATTTATCTGACTCTTTTCAAACTTTCATGAAGTCTGCTATTTCAGGGCATTTTAAGGCTTAAGAGAAAATGACTGATTAAAAAGCATTTGTTAATGGTGGTAATGAGGTATTTTACACTTTTTTCCTTTCCAGGGTTGCTCAGTGTGTCTTCAGTAACTGTATACCTAGCAACAGTATTGCCCTTGACCCTTTGTTGTCAGGCAATATGACCTTGGCCTTACTGAAGACAACTTACCCAGAATTCACTTCTGCCACTAAAATGTTTACTGTGACATCACCAGTGGATTACAAGAACTACACAGTTATAGGATTCTCTGACAAAGAGCAAGGTATGTTGAGATATTTGACATGTGTCCGCTTTTTAGCTCACCTGTCACAAAGTGACATGGTGAGCTTTTGTGATCGCTTTTTGTCCTGCGTCTGTCCGTCCATCGTCGTCAGTCCATAAAATTTTACTTTAAACGACATCTCCTCATAAACCAATAAGCCAATTTCATCCAAACTTCACAGGAATGTTCCTTTGGTAGTCAACTTTAAAAATTGTTCAAAGCAGAACTCTGGTTGCCATGGCAACAGAAAGAAAAAACTTCTTCTTTTAGAAAACCGTAAGAGCTAGAGCTTAAATATTTGGCATGAAACATCATCTAGTCAGTGTCTACAAAGTTTGTTCAAATAAATGCAAGGGGTCAAAATAGGGGGGGGGGGGGGGGGGGGGGGGTCATTAATTTTCCTTATTTGTATATAGTAAAAACTTAAAAAATCTTCTTTTTAAAAAACCCAAATAGCTAGAGCTTAGCTATTAACCATGAAACATGTTCTAGTGGATGTCTACCAAGTTTGTTTAAATAAACGCCCTGGGGTCAAAATTGGCCCTGCCCCAGTGGGTCATTGTTTTTCCCTTTATGTATATAGTAAAAACTTAAAAAATCTTCTTTTAAAAAACCTTTAAAGATAGAGCTAAGATATTTAGCATGAAACATCTTCTAATAGGTGTCTACCATTTTTGTTCAAATAAGGGCCCTGGGGTTAAAATTGGCCCCGCCCCGGGAATCATTGATTTCCTTTTATGTATATAGTAAAAACTTAAAAATCTTCTGTTAAAAAACCCAAAGAGCTAGGGTTTTAGATATTAAGCATGAATTATCTTCTAGTGTGTGTCTACCAAGTTTGTTCAAATGAAAACCCTGTGGACTAAATTGGTTCTGCCCAGAGGGGGGAGGGGTCATTGTTTTTCCCTATATATGTTAAGTAAAAACTTGAAAAATCTTCTTAGAGCTAGAGCTTAGATATTTAACATGAAACAACTTGAAATGGGTGTCTACTAAATGTGTTCAAATAAAAGCCCCTGGGTTAAAATTGGCCCCGCCCAGGGGGCCAATATACAGGTGAGCGATTTCATGGCCATCATGGCCCTCTTGTTAACCCATTGTAAGAATATTCTTCAAACTTGGCTTAAATGTTCACCTCATCAAGTTGATGTCCATAATTTATGCTGCCAACATGCCAGCTCAAGGTAAAAGTTCAACTCAACAAGGCAATGTGCAGAGGTCAGTCATCCTTGAAGGGCAAATGACGGAATTTGTGTCTGCTCTTTAAATCCAGTACCCCATAAATTGGCACAAATTTTTCGCTTTCAAAAATTCCTGTGTCATAGAAATTGTGGGGATAATAATTATTGTAGTGTAAAGTGCATTTTTTATGGGTACAATCTACTTAAAAAAAATTATAGAGGTCTACCTAAGGTCAGCCTCCCTGGGTAAAACGCAATAGTCGCCATGCGTCTTTTTAGTCGCCATGTGACTTTTTCAGTTTAGTGCAAAATAAAACCAAACAAAAATTTCCACATTCTTATTCATATCAAAATTTATTTTTCTATTCATATTCAAACTTTACATTTATTATTTTAATGCCATTTTTAATTACAGCTTCAATGTTAGTAAACAAGACTTATATGATAGATGGACAGAACACAACTGCTATACGTTGTTACATTGTAAGTTATTGCAATTTATGTTTATTACCTCCCTTGATATTTGTTTTAACTATATTTTATTATTTATATTGCAGTAATTTTAATTAATAATAAAATTTTTTGATTGGCATGCTTCTGGTATATAAGAAAACTTTTTGTTTGTACAGCACATATTTTAACTATTTGTTCAAGCACATATTTTAACTATTTGTCCTATGTTTTCCCTGGCCAAACTTATGTTCTGTTTCCTTTTGCACATTTATTAATTGGCTTCTAACTTTGAAAACATATTTTGTGTATACTGTCTATAAGCTTCCGCCATCATTTAAAATTTCATGATAATAGGTCAAGGTCACTGAAGCTGAAAAAAAGGATATTCTTGCTTTACAGGTTTTCAAATTGTTAGTTGTGACATGTATTAATAATGTTAAGCCAAATATTTAACCAGCTCATGCCATATTTAATGCACCAGTCAAAGCAAGGTAGTCACCATGATAAATTTTTTCAATGATAATGTGATTTATAACTATAACATGATAATATTACTATTTATAATTACAAAAATATCTGGCTTTAAAGTTTTTGTTGAAAAGAGGTCTTGGAATATTTCAAATACCAAAATTAATAATGCATGTATTATTATTATAAGGTGAGAAAAGTCAAAAGCAAGAAAGAATGCAAAGCAAAACATACTTACGCCTTGGTGGATTATAGTCTCAAAACATTTAAATTTGTTAAAATTGATAATTCAAAAATTTAAGCATTAATAAACATTAGTGAAGCAACAGAAAACATTCAGATATATATACAAACATGCATGTAATATGTGATATATTTTACAGACACCTGATGCTACAGTACAAAATGGCGTGTTACTTACAGACCAGATTTTTATGACGGGATTTCCACATACATTAAATAGTGATGAACTAAAGTTAAAACTGCCGGAGAAATACCAAAACAAAGTTGATAAGGTTTGTTTGAAACATCACAGATTTATCATTTGAAAGAAGCAAGATCACAAATATTGTTCATGTATGTATTTTAGAAAATTGGACCAAGTGGTAATGGTTGCTGACTTATAATCACATGCTTTCTAAGTTGAATCCTGCCAGGAAGTTTGGATTCTAATTTTTGAGGTCTGCCTTCATCAGCAAAGCTTTGGAGTCATCATATGAGATTTCAGTTTTGGTGTGACTACTTTTAACCTTACCCATACACTTATATAGACTATTCCTGAAAATCTGAGATAAAAAGCTGCTAAATGAACCTATGGTCAGCTTTCATCACAGTATGTACACAGTGAATTACACATTCACTCACCATGTTTTAGCCTGCTGTCACTCTTCATAGAGAATAACATGCTACTGTCTTTTGATATCAATTTTATCAGGCGAGGCTGATATGGGCTAGAAAGGGCGAGGCTTGCCGAGCCCTTTCTGCCCATATCAGCCGAGCCTGATAAAATTGATATCAAAAGACAGTAGCATGTTTTTCTATTTATCATGTAACACATAATAACTGTCAAAATAACAAAATAATCTACTTTTAAATAGCGAATTTCGTTAAAAAGGGGAATTTTTGTTCAAAGAAATTATTCTTGAAAACAAATTCATCCGCCCCTTACACTTAGAATTTGTAATTGGCGGCCATTTTTTCTTTCGACTCGGATAAAAGATACAACAGAATGTAGGCCTAATACGATAACATTCTTACCTTTAATTTAAACATCGATCCAAAAATCCGCTTAGAATCACATAAACTAAACTTTACTGCAATTTTTGTCTTGAATTGTCAAATTCAAAAGTTCACGATAATTTCAATCAAAGAAAAGTCAAATCGGCAATCAAACACAAGCTACACAAACATGCGTCTTATTTTTTAAACGAAACAATGTGTTCACTTATTAAATAATAATCCGGCGAGAATAAAGTAAACATTTACAAGACGTTCTCAAAAAAAAATCGTCAGCCTGTTTGTTATGATTACATGTATAGTGAACATCGATGATGTCATTTGCAATATAAATTATGACGTCACTTCATTTAGTTGGTGCTAAAACTATTCGCTATCTAATTTATTCGTAATTGAAATCCAAATAATAAATAAATAAATAAATTTCGCATATTGATTCAAGACTTGTAAGGGTATAAGATTACATTGTAGAATTCACATGCTGATGAAAATGCTCGAATGTAAGCAATTGAAAAAAGTCCGTTAAAATGGGCGGGGCTAATTTTTGATATCAGGCTACTGACGTGATATCAAAAATAATTATCAGGCAAGTGTTATCGGGCAGTTACCATAGCAGTTGCATGATAAATGTCTATCTCAGTCATTGTAGCCAAATACCAGTTCCTTGAAAAGGTTTCTTCTGATATCTTGTTAAAGTGTCTACTTTATTTGAATGTAACAAACTTAAATCCTGTTATATGACGCCAAAATTTTACATACTAGTATAAGATAAGTACACATAGTTTTTCATCATGCACACCTTGACATCAAACCACTTGCCCCTCACCGCTGTGGGCTTGAATCCTGATTAGGACATTGGAATCTTTCTTGTGAGGAAGCTATCAAGGTAGCTTATACAACGTCAGAGGCTCTCTTGAGGTCTTTCTCTACCACTTAAGCTGGAAAGTCGCCATATAACCTTTAAAGTGTTGGTGCTGCGTAAAAACCAAACCTCCACCCCCAATCCCAAACCACTTCCCTCTTTTTGATATAGGTTTGGATTCTAAATGTGAGAAAGCTATCTAGCTAGTGAGGTCTTTGTATGCCAGTAAAGCTGGAAAGTTGCTATATGACATATACTCTGTTGGTGATATGTAAAATCCAACCAAAAATAACAGAAACAAAAACAATTGACTCTTGTTTATAAGAGTTTTCTGGGGACATTGGATTTTTTTATGTTAGAAAATTACCTATGTGCCCTACAGAATGGTGGGATTTACTCGGTATCTACCTTTTTTGGGGACATTGGATTCTTTCATATAAGGAAATTACCTATATGGCTTACAGAAGGAGGGGTTTTACTCGCGATCTACCTCATTCCTTAAGGTCAGCGGTGTTTAACTGAAGTACATTACACATACTTGAAAAAATACAGAGAAGGATATATAAGTTATTTCTCCATTAGTAAAACTCAAAAGTAGCCATATATTTTGAAACCCCAAAACAACAGAGTAATTTTTTCAGACAATTTGTTTATTTGGTAATATTCTGTGCAACATTTTAATTTTCTTGTTTGATAAACATCTACTAATTTACAGATTACTTTCTTTTTGACAGCAACATTATTTACATACAAGCAACATGATACCATTTTAACGTCATACAAAGCATTAAAAATCAAGAGATTGTGTATGAAAATAAGTATATGTTGAAAATTGATTTGCAATATACAAATGTGGTTCCAAGTAAAGTAGATAAAAGTGTATTGTTAGTATATGAATATAATATTTACAATGCACACTATAAAACTTTGAACAATGAATTGGTATGGATACATATTATAGAATTATATAAAAATGCTTCATTACAATATCTCAAGCATGCTTTTAGAATCTACTTGGGTAACTTGTATAGGATAAACAAAGTATCTTTGAAAATATAAAGAATCACATTATGTTTATGTTATGAATTATGTTCATGTACAATATATACAATATAAAAATGTTATTCACTTATATATGTATGATCATATATAATTTAAAGTCACACTCTCAAATCAACTTGGTAACTTGTATATAGTTGAATACATTGTATAATATGTAAAGAATGTTTGAGTATACAGCAATTCGTAGTTCACTTGTACATGTATGTTCATGTCAAACTACTTTCATGTTTTCCTCTTGTCTTGTTGTAGATTCATTCTAATATTTGATGACAATTAGCAGCACCCTTAATAACAATTTATCATTGACATTGGTCGCACACTGTTATTTTACAGAAACTCTTGATTGGTACCATGATTATAAATTATGTTCTTTTTTTTTCAAATTTTCTTTTTTGTTTTATAAAGCCCATATATTTCCCCCTTTCCCAAAATTTTGTTTTAAATTTTAAGAAAAAAAGGGAATTCATCCCCAAAAAGTTGTATCCCAAAAAATTATGGTAGTATATTGCCCTTTTTAAATGAATGGCCTTAGTAATTAAACATTGTTTAAAAGTTAAAATCGTACTTAAATAGTAGCATCATATTTTGTTTCGGAACATTTTGTTCTATTTATGTCCAAAAATTTATTCGTGTTTTAAAAAACAAAAACATTTTTTATAAAAAACTTTGTCAAAAGCCATCAATGAAAAAAGGAAACCCTTTTAATTTTGTGTTTGGGGAAATTTTAAGAAATATTATCTTTTTAGCCCCTTAATTTCCCTTTTCCCCTTTAAAATGACAAATTTTCGTGCACCTCATATTGTCTTCACCATATCTGCTTATACACATCTTAGACATTTGCTGATAACAACAAACTGATTGAATTCCTGGTTTTCCACTGTCTTCTGTTGTGACCTCTCCTATCAGCTCACCATCAGATGTAAACTGTGAAACATTATTTGATCTTATTCCAGATACCAGCACACTACCTGTTTTAGTGAGATGACAACAAGTAGCTCCCTTACCATTATATGTTGTAACAATCTGACCATTGTTGTCCAGTACTATCAGTCCTTTATTACCATCAGCAACATAAACCCTTGTAGCATCCTTACTGACAGCTAGACTGTTTGTGGAAGAGCTTGACTGGTCAGTACTAAACTGTTTAAGTTTCCTACCAGTCATTGTGTAGATATAGACTGATGTGTTTTCTGAAATATATAAATCATTGTTTGCATATGCAAGACCAAAACAGCTTATATCAGTTTTAATCTTGTTTGTTTTTTTCATTTGTCTATCTACAGATATGAAGTGAACTTCTTGTTTGTAGGGCAATGTTACTGCTACTTGTGTTTCATTAATTTTACATATTTGCCATGGCTGTCCAGGTAGATTATAGCAATCTGTGATGGTATAATTGTGACTATCTAACCGTTTAAGCTTGTTGTTGTTGAAGTCAGCTAGGATTATTTTACCATCTTCCATATAGCAGGCACTTGTGATACCACAATTTATTTCATCAGACGTAACTTTGACACAGTATGATTGTCCTTCTGTAATCTGAAGCAACTTGTCAGCAGTTTTTTCTGTAACCATGCCAATTGTTTTGTTTTGTTTCAGCTGTTGAAGGAGATTTCTGTCAGGATGGAACACTATGTCACTTACTGTTTTCTTCATTTTGGTATCCTCTAAAACTTTGTTGGCAACATTTTCAACATCTTCTCCCATTTTCACATGAACAAACAATTCAGCTTGATTTGGGTTTGGAGATGCTAATCTATCATTAGCTGAAGTAACCTTTGCTTTGTGTTTTTGTAGCTGTTTGAGACCTTCTGCAATCTTGTCTTCAAGAAGTTTCAATTTATTTTCTATCTCAACTATAGAACTTTTCTCCAGCTTGTCAAGTTGGTCATTAATTTCTTGTCGGAATTTTCTGATATCGTCCAGTAACTCAGCCTTTCTTTTCAGAAGGTTCTGTTTATCCTGTTGAAATTTGTTAGCTTGTACAGCAAGGGTCCTGGCTAATGCCTTCAGCTTTGTTTGAATTTCTCTTGAAGCCACTTGGTAAGATTTGTTTTGGATGTATTCTGGTATGTAGAATGTATTCTTACATGATCTGGAAGAAAAGGAATGAAGTCTGTTTAGGCATCTAAGAGAAAAAAATTAATATGATTGTCTTGCAAATTGATTAATTTATCAGCCCTCATGAATTTATTACGCTGATTAATTAATTTGTTTCACCTAGGAAAAAAATATGATAAACTTTCAATTTGGAACAGTTTGAAACTAATAATAGGTAAAGTGTTAAGTTTTAACAGTTGATTAATTAATTTGCTCTTACATGGGAAAAAGTGATGATTAACTTTCAATTTGGAA